GACGAGAGGAACAGAGGAGAGAGAGAAGAGAGGCAAGAGAGCGAGACAGGAGTGGAGAGTGACTTGAGAGAGAGAGAGAGAGAGAGAGAGAGAGAGAGAGAGAGAGAGAGAGAACGCGTGAGAGGGCAATGGCTGAGAATGTCAGGTAAAGAAAGATTATATCAGCAAACTTGAGAAAAATAACTGTCATCTCAATTGAGGCCACTACTAGAAACTGCACTTTTTACATTAACCTACATTACAAACTTCACAAGGCATGGCAAACGTTTTGCCAAGATGATGAAATAGCGGTTTCACCCTGTTGAAGGTTAGAAGGGCCAACAGACATAAAATCAGATCATGATATCATCATGATATCATCAAATTTCTCAGAAATTCGTCAGCCACCTTGTATCCAAAGTCGGTATCATCCAGCACCACCGTGAAGCCATCATCCAGGCTGTAGCTTTTCCTGTGCGTCTCTATCCGCGCGATCTCCACAAGCCGCGAGCAAAAGCTCGCAAACTCTCCCACTTCCATCGCCACCCGCTTTCTTTTGAAAAGTTCGCAAATCGCTGCACGGATATCGCTATGGCGACTATGCTCTAGGTACTGCGTGCTGAATTTATGCGACTCGAGGCCATCCATTGGTCGCTTCAGCTCCCAGGCGCTGTCTCGCTGTCGCAGCCAATAGTCGTTCAGCGTTAGGTCATGTGACGTGGTATCCCAGTAGACGTCGAGAAAGCGCGTGTCGCTGCGTAGACGGGCGCCGCGTTTTTCCAGGTTCGCAACGCTGTCGGCGGTGAACACAAATTTACGCTCGACCTCAAGGTTGGGAGCAGTCTGTCGTAGGTCAGCTGCAGCGACGTGCAGACGAGCAGATTCTGGCACCTGATTGGACGCTCGCGCCGCCATCTTGGCAGTGTTAAACACAAGGCGTCTTCCGACATTCAGCAGTCCGTGCGCACAGACGTTTAACCCTGACATCGACCTGTTTAAGAAAAGAGGGAATCATTTACTAAACACACATGGCCCTAAAACAGTAAACAGAATTTGCATAAACAAACAATTGACGTAATTAGCAGGAATCTACAAATCTAGTTCCAATTACAAGATTGATGTATGAAGTCATCTGTCATATGAAGTTTCTCGAAATGCGAACGCATCAGAAAGTTCATCACGCGAATTTCGCACGCAAAATGTAGCGATATCGACAAGAAATGTATTTCCATTTACAATTTATCCGACTCGGGTTTTATGCGTTAGTAAGATTGTGGCCCATCTGTCCTCGTGTACATACGGCTATACAGATGTAAGGTTGTCACGCATTTTCCCATAATGGTTTACCAAGCGGGTTCAGACACGGTTCACAAAAAAACACATTTGCATGTAGATGCACGCGCATGGACGCACACGAATGCACATATATGCACGGACGTGGAACCCCCATAACTACAGCTTCAACACACGCGCGCGTTGGGGGCATCACGCACGCTTTCTCCACTAGTAACCACGCACGCACACATACACGCACGCACGCACACATACACGCGCGCACGTACACACATGAGAGAGAGAGAGAGAGGCGAGACAGGGAGGGAGAAAGAGAGGCTCAGGAATAACAGAGTCAGTGTACACCCAAACCTCTGTGTCTATACTACTCTTTACCTCGTAGGCGCTGGTGACGTCACGTTTCTCGGCGAGACGATGGTAGACGGGCAGGTAGACCAAGCAGGCGAGAGGGAAAGCAACGAACCCTGACAGCGAATAGGTGGTCATCTCTAGTCCGTAGTAATAGACTTCGGCGGGGACGCCAACGACGGCGATAGCGGAGATGAAGCTAGCGAGTAGAGACAGGCTGACCGGAAATATGCTCATCTTTTTATTGCCGACGTAGTAGTCGCTCGTCGTCTGCTGACCGTGGCGACCCCTGATGGCGTAGTAGACACCGATGCCTGCCGACACGAGCAGCGACGCGCCGAAGACGACGCCGTCGACGACGGTAAATGTAAGGCTTTGCGATGGTGGCGACATCTTGCTATGATCGACAACTGCTCGCGGTGAAGACTTGTCTAAAGCACGTCGGTTTTCGGTTTTGCTAAAGTACTACTAGAAACACTAAAGTACGTCGGCGCTTTTACGAGCTGTAACTAACCACTGTAATAAATATTGAGCTAACCAAAAGTGCACAATCCATGCGCTTATCCGTCCTACTATATCTTGTTATGCGCACACGAATCTTCGATATGAAGGCACACGTCTTCTCTCTATATCCGCTATACAGATATTAGAGCCATTAACGGATTCTGCGAGCGTCTTAGCCCACGCATGATCCTAGACGGAAATGACGGGTTTGAGAAATAGCGCCAGATTGGTGACACGGCGGTGGACTTTGACACAATAGGCAATAACCCCTATCTGGAGATTTGCACGCGTAAACAGATCAGGCGCTTTCCCTCCCACTTATCTCCTGTATTGGGTGCGTGCAGACAGGTTATATCTCGCTAAATTGCCATATAAACGTTTACACAATAACACTCACACGCACACACACACAAACACACACAAACTCACACGCACACACACACACACACACACACACACACACACACACACGCACGTACGCACGCACGCACGCACACGCACACGCACAC